CAAGTCCTGCAGCAGAACTGGGTCCAGATGTTACCATGAGGAGCAGACATCCTGCAGCAGAACTGGATCCAGAAAGTACTGTATGGACCAGACATCTTCCAGAAGAACTGGATCCAGATGGTACTATGCAGAGTGCACATTCTTCAGCAGAATTGGGCTTGGGTGTTAGCATATGGAGTGCATATCCCACAGCAGGTATTTCTACCTGGAGCACACGTTCTGCACCCAAATCTGATGCAGAAGGTACTGCATGGGACACTCATTCTTCAGCTGATTTTGATCTAGATGGTACCGTGAGAAGCAAACATCCTTCAGCAGAAAAAAATCTCAAAGGCACAATGGAGAGTAAATATATTGCAGCAGAAACAAGTCGAAGAGATCCCATGTGGAGGACTCATCCCACAGAAGAACTAGCATCAGATGGAATCAGGAGGAGAACACTTCCCACAGCAGAATCAGGTTCAGACTACTATATAGGGCTGCAAGATCTTGAAAGTAATGTTAAGGAAAAGAACAAAGTGTTGGAGGGCTGGGGTGGATGGACAGCAAGAAGACTGCGTGGTTGGGCAGAAGGGGGAAGGAGAGTTTGAAATGACAGAAAAGGGGAAGGAAGAAAGAATAGAAAGTTTGGAGGGGGGTGACTGAGTGGATAGAAAGATATCAAGGAACAATAAATGGGGGAATGGATGGATGGATGGATGGATGGATGGATGGACGGATGGACGGACGGGTGGATGGATGAAGTGGCAACAATAGATTAGGAGGAGGAGGAAGGCCAAAGCAATGGGCTGGCTGTAGGTGGAAGTGTTTGAGAAGGAGAGGAGAAGCAGAAGGGGTGCAGGAGAGGAAGGAGGGGCAATGGATGGCTGAGGAGTGCTGGGGGGGATTTCATGGGCTGTGTCTCCTCCCCAGGTGCTGGTCCAATGGGAATCTCTGCTCTGCCCACTAGAGTTTCATCACCCTCTCCATCTCTGGGCTCCACCCAGGGGCTGGCTGTCTCTCCTGCCATTGCTGTTCAACTGAGTCCAGGCTCTGGCACCCACTCACAGCACCTCACAGAGGCCCCCAGTACCCAGAGACCCTCAGAACCTACCCAGTACCCTGAGATCCCCAACACCCAGGGACACCCAGCATCCATCCAACATCCTCCAGAGAGCCCCACTGCCTCGATAGAGCTTGTGCTCTCCCAGCATCCCTCTGCAGAGCCCTCTGGTTTCTGGACACCCCCAGACCTCTTTATCCAGACACCATCAAGGAACCCCAGCCCTCAGAGCCCCCCAGTACTCACTGTGCGCCCCATAGATCCCACCAGCCCTTACATGAATGCTGCCAATTTCAAGCACATCATGGATATCCCCAGACCCCAGAGCCTCCCAGCACCCTCTGAGGACTCTGTTAAAACCCTCAGTACCCAGAAACCCCCAGTATCTGCCCAGCATCCCACAGAGACCCTCAGCTCCAAGAGTCCCTCAGCACTCTCCCAATATCTATCAGAGATCTTCAGTACACAAGTCCCCCCAGCACCCACCCAACACCCCATGGAGACCTCTGATAGTCAGCCCCCTGTAGCACCCACTGAACAATCCACTGAGATCTTCAGCACCCGGAGGCCCCCTGCGTTGCCCCAGCACTCCACAGAGCCCCCCAGCACCCAGAGGCCCCCATCAACACTACAACACCCTATGAATACCTTTGACACCCAGAACCCTCCAGCATCCCTTAAGCATCCCATGAAGTTGCTCAGCACTCAGACCTCCCCCATATCCCACCAACACCCCAAAGAGCCCCGCAGCACCCAGACACCCCCAGGATCCTTTAAGCACCTCACAGATGCCCCCAGCATCCAGATTCCCTCAGCACCTGTCCAGCATCCACTGGAGACTTTCAGCACTCAGACTCCGCAAGCACCCCTCCAGCACTCCATGAAGTTATTCAGCACCCAGGCCCCCCCAGCACCCACAGAGACCCTCCGCACCCATTCTGCAAGCTCTGTACTGCCTGGACCCCCATGTGCAGGTAGGTCATGGGGTTGTGGGTGAGGCTTGGACCCATGAGATGCAGGGCTTGCACATGCTGAGACCACTGGCTTGGAGAGAGGAGGGATGGGTGCTGGGGGGGTCCCTTGCTCTGAGAGTGGTTGCCCTGGCGGAGCAAACATACGCACACAGAGGATTTAGGGGGTCTCTGCTTCTCGCCCCACAGGTCCAGCCCAACCAGCACCACCGGTGCCAACACTCTCTGCACTATGGGATCGGGGGGG